GGAGGGAGAATTTACAGACTCTATTAATATAAGAAAAGGCACAAGACAAGGATGTCCCCTTTCTCCTTTGCTATTTGTATTGACTCTGGAAGCGTTGAATAGAAACATTAGAGAAGACAAAACTATAAAAGGAATGAAAATTAAAAAGGAAGAATTTAAATTACAAGCCTTCGCGGATGACTTAGTCTTTATTTTGGAAGACCCTGTAGAAACGGCTTCGAAGCTATTGGAAAAGATCGAGACATATGGTGAAGTGGCCGGTTTGAAAATAAATAAAGATAAAACAAAGATTTTGTCAAAGAATATGCTATTAAGACAAAGAGAAGAATTGGCAGATTTGTTGAAAATTCAAGTTACGAATAAGGTTAAGTATTTGGGGATATATTTGACATCAAGATGTAGTACATTAAAAGAGAACAATTATATTAAACTTAAACAACAGATAGCTTTAGACTTGAAGAAATGGGAAAATCTACAACTCTCATTAATAGGGAGGATTTCAACAATTAAGATGAATATTTTACCCAGAATCTTATTTTTGTTTCAAACAATACCAATTAGGCTCGGGAAAGACTATTTTGAGGATTTAAATAAAATTGTGTTGAAGTATATATGGCAAGGCAAGAAAACGAGGATAAAGCTAAAACTCCTGCAAGATGCTAGAATTAGAGGAGGTTTTGGCCTGCCTAATTGGGAGCTGTACTACCAAGCTGCAAATTTGATGTGGGTCAAGGAATGGATAACATTAAGGAAGACTAGATTGTTGACATTAGAAGGTCATGATCTGTTGTTGGGTTGGCATGCTTTTCTATGGTACAAGGGAACTAAGACACAGGGCTATTTTCAAAGACATTATATACGGGAGTCTTTGTGGTTAAATTGGGAGAAGATAAAAAAACAATGTTATTTGAAAATTCCAGTTTGGTTATCGACGATAGAAGCATTTTCTTATCCTATAATCTACAAGAAGGAACAAACAGTTAGATATGGGGAATTATTAGATGAAAAGGGTGAACTTAAATCGATACAAAATCTAGAGGAACAAGGTATAAAGATGAATTGGTTTTCATATGTGCAAATACACTCAAGGTATGATGAGGATTCCAAAACAGAGGGATTTTATGATAAACAGACTGATTTAGATAAGATCTTGATGGGTACTGATGAAAAGGTGATTAAAAAATTATATGGTTATTTATTGGAAATTAAGCTAGAGGAAGAAGATGATTGCTTGGGGGAGGAATTTTGGATATGGGATTGATTTAGAGAAATGGCAGAAACTATGGTTGCAAAATTATAAAATGACAATGTCTACAGCTTATAAAGAAAATTTGTATAAGATGTTTTACAGGTGGCATTTTCCCCCGACAAGGATAGCAAGAATGTTTAAGAATAAATCTGAAAAATGTTGGAAATGTCATCAGATACCTGGCTCATATTACCATATGTGGTGGACTTGTGAGGACGCTAGAAAATACTGGACTAAAATCCGCATGTGGTTGGAAAAAATGACAAAGAAACATATAGATTTGAAACCGGAGTTTTTTTTATTGGGAATTCTACCAGATGTATACAGTAAAGATTTGAAATATCTGATTGTAAATGTATTAACTGCGGCTAGAATTGTATTTGCTAAAAATTGGAAAAATGAGAAAATTCCATCGCAGGAAGAAATTATTAAGAAAATATTGGAATGTGCTGAGATGAGTAGATTGACATTTGAAATCAGAGAGCAAGAAGATAAACAATTTTATAAAATTTGGGACCTTTTCTATCAATGGTTAGATGATGAAATATGACAATAGAATACTTAGAATTTTAGATAATAAGGAATATTTTTGTTTTTTCTTTTTCTTTTGTTATTAGATACTATATCTATAAAGTGTTTTTTTTTAGGATAGAATTGGCATGATTATATGATTTGTTATAGAATAAATTACTTAAATTATAGTTATCTCATAAAGTATGAATGAATAAAAGTATAGTCAAATGACTTTTCTTAACAATGATATGAAGATATATAAGTTAGGATTGAAAATAAGAGTTATTATGTAACATAATCGTAATTGAGACTACGAAATGGATGCACAAAACTGATGAACCAACCGACACACTGTTTGTATGGAAATATGGAAGAGAGCTGATGATTTTATGTTTTGTGTGTTTTTGTTTGTTTGTTAAAAAAACCAATAAAACTGTTTTCAAAAAACAAACAAACCCCACCTTATCCTGGTCAGTGGGAAAGTCCTCAGGCCGAAGGCTCATGTAAAGCTGGCACTGCCCAAAAATGCTGGAAATTGGGCCAGGGAACCATCAAATTTATCTGGCACTGCCACAGGGCATTTTCGGCAGGGCCAGGCAGCTTGCATTTGTGCCACCCGTGCAGTCAAAAGAGCCACTTGCTGGATTAACTGGGCAATCTCTGCTCTGAGCTGATCCATGGTCACGCAAAAGTAAGTTGAAGGGGTGGCTGAAGTCAAAATGTGATGACCCGTAGTCTCTCAAAATAACCCCAAACCCAAAACACATATTAAAGGCCGGTAAAACCTTCAACTTATCTTCATTGTTTTATTAGGCACAGTTTAAAGTCACAAAAGTAAATAATGAGGCAACAGAAAACCAATACAAACCGCATTGATGAGAGTTCCAAAGCAAGCCAAGATAACTAATTATAAACTCAGGAAAATAACCGAGAAAAGTCCATGGGAAGAACGCCAGCAAAGATAAGCCTCTTTCAAGGTAAACACTAATTGACAACAATTCAAAACTGTGCAGTTGCAAACTTATATACATAGCTCCCACCTGCAAGCCACAAGGAGGATCATGGAAATCTCCTCTTGAGTAGACCTCACTTTTCCCTGATCCTCTCCTCCCTGCGTGACCTAGGATGGATAGGGGATGGGCCTGGATCCTCCTCTGACTGCTCAGCTTACCTCTGCCCTTCCCCAGCCTCCTCCACCACCTCTGGAGCCACACTCCCTCTCCCTGTTGGCTGTTCCTCCTCTTCCTCAGAGTCAGACTCCACCAGGGGCATGACAACTTTATCCCTTCAATAAAGCATGAAATTCTGATTTGGTGCAATTGTTATTTGTCCTGCAAAACCATGTCTTTCTTTCTTTGCAACTGAATAAAATAAGTGAATATATTTTCCTGGGTTTGATACTCTGCTCTGTGGATATACAATCTTCCAATGTATGGATTACCATTAGCATGACTGGAGTGCAAAACTCCATATATTTATTGTGTGGCAGCAAAGAGAAACAAGGAAATATCTGTAACTGGGAATTTGCAACCTAGTTTCTCATGCCAACTTAACTGGACTCTGTCCTTTCTCTCAATGCAGGGTGGGATTGTACCGGTTCTCACCTATTCACTAGAACCTGTTGTTAACTTTGTAAGCAGTTTGGAGAATCAGTTGTTGGAAGACATCTCCTTTCGTTTTTTTCAACATTACAGGGCTAATCCTGTAAGGAAGGCAGGAAGGAAACATTCTGGTGTTGTTGCTTACACAAACTGCCTCTCTGTTAACCCTTATTACATTCTTGATAGTAGTACTCTTAGACTTCCTGTCTCTGGAGCTTCTGGGGCTTGACTGTCTTAAAGGGGAAGAGTTGTTTTAAGCTTTTTACACTGCTGTTGGGAGGAAATACTCCCTTGGACAATCAGCACTTTGAAGAAATAATTGAATAACAAAGCAGAGCTGCCAGAAAGAAACTTTAATGACAAGGAACCAAGATGAGTGACATTCAACAAGGCTTCTTGGCTAGCTAGAAAGATTGACATTCAAACGTGAGTTACATACCGTTTCTGAGTTTTGGTCTAAACTAGTGCTTAGTGATGTTTAATCCTGGTTTATTGATTGGATAATTTTCCCTATTCAACTTTGTTCGGACGGAAAAAGGTTAATCTCTGTTCCTGAAAAGAAACTCTGTTGAGAAATCTGGCTAGTTCCTGTGTCTATTTGTTCTGGTAATTGATTTAACAAGCAACAGCTACTGTTGTGATTTAATTATTTGTATTGTGTTTGAAGTTTTTCCTGCCTCATTGTTTCTTTCTTTATTTGGGAAGGGGGTCTTCCTTCACTGCTTTAGTGGTTCCTGGCATTGTCCTTTTGGAGTGTACTTCCAAGAGGCAGAATGCAAGTTTAGCACTGACTTTTTTTACTGCCTTTCTGGGGGGCATGTGCTCTTTCCTTAAATCTGGATGAGGTGAGTGAGACCAGCTGGTTTCTTTAAGTGGTGCAAATGGATGTAAGGATTGCTTCTCCTGGGTGTACTTTTTCTGGAGAGCTTAAATGACCTTTCTGCTAAAGGATTTCACTTTATGAGCAAGAGTTGGCAGCTGATAGTTATCATTGCATTTTAACTATTTTAATTCCTCAAGGTGCTCTGGCACTCTGCCTGATTTGTAACTCTGGCTTGCAGGTATTTCTAATCTAATGATTGGTATTTAGGGCAAGCAAAGAAGTATTTTGTATTTTTGTACAGGTAATCCTTGATTTACAACAGTTCACTTAGTGACCATTCAAAGTTACAATGACACTGAAAAAAGTGACTTATGACCATTTTTCACACCTATAACCATTGCAGCATTCCCAGTCACGAGGCGAGAAGCACCCCTGCACTACTCAATGTGAGTGATGTTGAGTTGGCCACACCCAGCCAGTCACATGACCACCAAGCCACACCCACCAACTAGGCCACGCCCACAGGACAGGTTGTTTTAAAAAAATTGAATCCCACCCGTCTCAACATACTAGTCCTCTTTCGTCTTACTCCCATCACCTGAATCTCTTAGCATGCCATCCTGTCAACAGGGAGCGCCTCGCTTTCCCACGCCTATTGGCCACTCGTTGTCCTTCTCTGAAGCGCATCCCCTTCCTTATCCCCGCCGACCAGTAGAGGGCGCGTCTGCTCCCTGCTCGTCCAGCCTAGCTGTGCTCAAAAGGCACGGCTTCCGGCCGCTCCTTTTCTGACGCCTTCCTTCGTCGCCTTCGGGCTTTGACTACAGCCGCCGCCGCGAAGCGGGCCTGGGATGCCAAGATGGCGGCGGCGGTAGTATCGGTTTTCCCTGGTGTGCGGCTCCTGACTATCGGCGATGCCAACGGGGAAATCCAGCGGCACCAAGAACAGCAGGCGCTGCGTCTCGAGGCTCGCACCGGGCCTGACGCCGCTGGCCTCGCTTTGTATAGCCGTGAGTGGCGAAATGGGACTCAGTTGGCGGGCATGCTCGCCGACAAGCGGGCCGGTGGGGGCCTAGTCGCGTGGAAAGGGAAGGTTGGATGACTGAAAGAAAATGAATGAATGAATGAATGAGTCGTAGGAGGGACAACTGGTGAGGAGATGCGGAGGAACAGCCAGCTACTTCTTGGAGCTGCTTCTCGTCATCGCTTCTGCTTGAGATCGCGAGAGAGAGCGGTCTGTCGCCCCAGTGTTTAAAGGCCAAAGGTTTCTGAATATGTGCGAAGAGTAATTCATATCTATACTACTACATGGTAGCTTATAGGAAGGAGACCAAGTTTCATCCATGAGCACATCAGGGAAAATAGGTGGGGGTCGCGGCATATTCCGGAGTTTTTTGAATTTCCGTGCTAACGAGCCATAGCTTCCCTTGGAGAACAGTCCATTTAATTTCGTTTGCAGGCAAATAAAGAATACCCCATGGCTTTTTATGTTTCAGCCAAGTAAATGCTCCGTGACTGTTGCCCCAAACTTCTAATAATATTGCACCAGTCTGACAAATTCTGTAATGCCAGGATTAATCTGAAGTATTTTAAACTAACCTGTCAAAAGTTAATTGCCATCCCATATATTCCCAAAAGTCACAATAATTAAAGACTAGTAAGCCATTCACTTAAAGGCCTATATATTGTGATACCACAACAGGGAAAAGTAAATTAGAAAAAATAGGTTTGTAGGTAATTAAAAAAATAGATTATGCTTTAATGGGATTGGGATTGGAAAAGTGCATTTTAGAACTGTTTACATTGGCAAATTGAGAGGAAAATTTACAAACTTGTAGGTTGAAAAGTTGTTTTTCTGAATGCTCTTTTTTGAACATCACATTGTAAAAAATATTTGTAGGTACAGGAGGAGTACATGTAAAAAACCTTAATTTATACTGAGCGTAAAACAGCTTTTTAAGAACACAGCATTAATAACTCCTGAAACTGTTTCATAAATCTCATAATAACCATTCTGAATTATGATATTTGCCCTCATTCATTATGAACTACCTTTTAGTATTTCTCCCTCTAATCCTTGAGACAATTTGGCTAGTATTACACTTTTTTGTAATAATAAGTATTGTTACATTTTTATCCCTTCAGTGGGATCTGACTTGGATCTGTATGTTGATATAATTGAGCATCAAATGGCTACATTGAGTGTGCATCCTATAGTTGGTCGCCTTCAATATTGGTGTCTTTTACAAACAGGTATTTTGCAATCAATGAATATCATTGCTGTTCAGTATGATGAATCAACAACTAGTTTCACAGACTAACGCGTATACTTACATTTGTGGTTTTTGCTTGATAATGTGTTTAGACACTTCATAGTGTTTAATTGGTTATAGTGGATGCAAATGTGAATACTGCAGTGTATATAGTGTTCTGCACTGTGACTCAGTTACTGTAATTCAATCAGAATCATACCATAACTTGAACATATTAGGTGGGTTCAAAATACTTTGTATACTGATTTCTGTATTGTTTGACAATTTTTGATATTATAACATGATAAGTGGAGACTTGTATACAAAGTATTTAATTATTTAGTAAATCTGAACTGAGTAATTAGAATGACAGAAATTTTAAATACTATAGTAATTCTGTTGAACTCTCTCTCTCTCTCTTGTATGCAAGCAATTATTTTTACACTTCCTCACATGAATGCAGAAAGTATATCTATAGGTCTGGGATAGTGAGGAGGCCACTTTTTCAAACTGGGTGACTTGGTCTAATGAGTGAATGAGGATATAATGGGGAAACTTTAATCTACATTTGGTCTGTTCAGTGCTGGTGTGAGATAGCAGCATTGTCTATTCACTAACTGCCTTCAGCTTTTGGAGCAAGTGAGAAAACATCTAAAGTCATTAAGTGGCAATTTTACCAGGGATAAAGTAAGAAATGACTAAACTAGCATGTAAAGTGGATCCTTGTAGTTGGATTAAGCATGCCCCTGCTAGGATAATTTGTGGACTCCAAATTGTAGATAAGATGGATGACTTTTTAAAAGTTCTGGACTTTTTTGTATGTTAGGTGGACTTTGAAATCTTCCTTCATGAGATTGTCCAAAGGGAATTGATTTTTTTTTGTATGTGTAGAGTTTCTGAACATAATTAGGGATTACTTCTTTGAGAGACTACTCAAACTATTAGAAGAAACATACAATACTGTAATTCCCATGAGGAAATCCAGAATTGAGCTAAAGTTGATCACTTATATAAATTCATTTTTTTGTAGAGTGGATGCTAGCTAAATTAACTATGAGCAGAATAGCTAAGTTCTCCTTTTCTTGGGAGCATTCTAAACCTCTTCCCATATTTTGAAAGCAGATAAAGTTTTGTTTAGAACAGTGTCTAAAGCACCATAATCTGATTCTGAACCACTTTGGGATCCATTGAACCACCTCTAGAATGGCATAACCTACAAGAAAGTTTGACAGTCCAATGGAAACAGAACCATTCTACATTCCATTCCATTGTAATCATCCCTAGAGCTGAAGATTTTGAGTTCAGCTATTATATGTTATTGTAATTGAAATCAAGGGTAGAGTAACTCTGACCCTCCAGATATCACTTAGCTACAACACCCAGCTATCTTAAACAGCTTAGACAGTTGTGAGTTGTAGGTCAACAATTCTTGAAGGCTTACATATTTTTTTATCCCTGACCTAATTATGATTATTCTGCAAACTGCAGAACATTATGCATATTTGAAATATTTGAAACTTGCCAGAGTCAGTTAGTCTTAGTGTTATGTGAACTTTTCCTTCCAACTTTTTTTTTAGTTGTTCACACTGCCAAATTGAATTTAACTGCTGTTATCAACAGAGCATATCAATCATTGTGGAAATTGTGCTACGTTTTGGCTGGAGGTTTTTTAAAAAGAGACTAGACAGACACTTATTTGAAATAGTATAGGTTCTTCTGCTTGGGCAAGGACACCTCCAAGGTCCCTTCCAGCTCTAGTTTATTCTAAGATTTTTTTCCCATAATATAGCTGCTACAACATCAAGCCACTTTATGAACCAGTGTTGCATTTCAAGCAGTTTCAATTGCCAACAATTAGTTGAACCATCTGTTTCTTCTTGGAAACATGAAAAGTCCAAGGATTTCTATTGATATTAATGTAAAGTTTGTTAATTGTTTTAAAATTTAGATACCAGATTTTATTCTGTAGAAATTTAGTACAAGATATTCCATTTCATGGGAATTTCATGGAATATCTGTATTTTTTAATATTTTGGTATCCTTTTATAAATAGTTACTCTAGGTTTTTTTTGTGTGTATTAGTAGAGCTGTGCAGAGCAACAAAATCTTCTCTCAAGAAAATCCTGTGTTTTCTGATTTTGTGGGATGGGATTGTTGCCAAAGCAACCCTTCAAATTTATCATTGAATCTTATTAGAATATGATCAAACGCCATCCAAATATTTCAGTGAAAGCATTATTATACTATGTTTTTGTTTGGAATCTCAGTAATGTTAATGTAGCATGATCAGAATGCTCAGAGTAGCTCCATTGTTGCTAATTTAGGAGGAGCAGTTTCATACTCCTAGATCTTACATTTTGCAGTTTCAGTGAAGCCACTGCAGCTTTTGGACTCCAACATCCTTCAACTTATTAAATATGTCAAATGTGCTAATTTCAAATTTGACTCCAAAGCCCAATTTCAAATCACAAAGCTTGCTATTTGTTAACCAAGAAGAAAGTTACAGTATGTGGTTTTTTAAAATCTAAACAATAAACCCTTTAATGAAAATTCAAGCTTTCTAAGTGAAAAATGAGAGGAAGAATTTCTACAGATAAGCTTCTGGAGTAATCCATTAGATTTTTGAAAATACGTTTCAGAAATATAGAGAGGAATATCATATATAACGTAAATTTTCCATGGAAATCATTTTACGTTGTTAATTTTATCTCAGAATTTGAGCCAAGATATTTCAGTCTTTCATATTTTTATGAACAATAATCTGAAGCCTATCTTTAAATATTCTCAGTTCAAAATAAGCTGTTATTTATGAGTCCCCTTGAAATAATTACTTCTTAGTAACATTTAAGGATATCAGTTCAGGTTAGAGACAATTAGTATCATATTAAGAAAAAGGCAATTAATTTTGTAATGGCAGATGTGAATTTAGCAGTGAATACTATCTGGAAACAGTGCTATAATAAATCCTTGATTAATATTTGTGTGTGTGTGTCCACTATTTCTGAATGCCTGTTATATCCCCAAAGTATGTCATTTGCAGCAATGTAAGTTTTTGAATGCAGTTCATTATTTTGGGAGGGATGCTGTTGTCTGTGGCATTTGAAGTTTGTTACGTAGGGATCTGTTAAATCAAGGGCCATTGTATTTTATATTTCTTCTCTGCATGTATCAGAATTTGAATCTCAGAAATTTCAAATGTAAAACACAATAAAAGGGAGGAGGAATAACTTTTGCTGGATACTGTTTGCCAATTAAAAAGGGGTAGCCTTTTTAAAAAAGACAGTCTCGTCATTCCTCATTGTTTCTCTGGAGAAGAATACAGAATTGTAATTAATTTTATTGCACAAGGAAAAGAAAAATGTGAAAATATAAAAAGAATGCTGTCTATATGTTATTAAAAGCCACCTGTGTGTGTAATGAAATTATTGGAAGAGGGTTTGGTTTAATAATACTTAAAGCTAAGGCAATTGTTTATGTTAGATATCTCTTAGTAAAATTATGATTAATTTTTGTAATAATTGCAGTTTACTGAATGGAAACATTTCAAAATGTCTCTATAATTATATTTAGATCTGATCTGGGAGAAAAGAATGTGCAAAGTACTGAAATAATTGCAGTTTCGTAGTTCTCTGCTCAGGTATGCTGAAACAGTGGTTGTCTTTGCCAAAATAATGGACTATACTTCTGGAGGATCAAAGAGTATTCTTCAAGAGTTAGCATGCTGATGCCTCTATTGTACTGTGTCTTTTAAGAGTAGA